CACAGTAAACACGCAAATAATATTAAGAAGGTAAAAACTGGGTAGGTATCCATAACAATGCGAGATTCAACAAATTTTTTACCAGAGTTTCAATTACTTTCAGCAGATTTCGAACCTCCCCATCACGCTGCTATTTTTAGTGTGTAGAAAGCCAGATTGAGAAGAAAGCGATACGGGGATTGGGGTTTTTATTCTGGAAGAGTCGAGAGCGATAATGGGAAGTCGCGTGGAGTGTTAACACGATTTTTGTGATTAGTGTACGTGACAGGATAGCCTCGTGGGGGACATGGAAATGACCAAATAGAAAGGTCATTTTTCCAAAATAATTTGATACTCAAAATACCCCTTTTATAAAATTGCATAATAAGTTAATGAAAAATAGAAATCTTTCATTTTAGTCCTTCAAAAATTAAATACTGCTTGAATTTTAATAAATTATCAAATTTATTTGATTTATTAGATTTATTTGTTTTATTTGATTTTTGTTCACTCTAAATAGCACTCCTTTATTGGTATCAGAGTTATAGAGATCATGGAAATGAAAATAAGAAAAATAGATAATTATTGGTATTTAGAAAAAGAAAAAAGTAGTTATATATTTTTAAAACCTATTCATAATAGATTAAAAATAATGACTTTAACAATAAGTAAAGAACTTCCCAAAGAAATAAAGGAACAAATATTAGAAAAATTAATAATAATAAAAATAAAAGATATATACACGTACGGAAAGATTATTAATATATATGAAAATGAAGAAAATAATTTATATTATAAAGAAAAGTATGGGTACAAGTAATAATAAACATTTAAAATTAAATAAACTACTTATAAAAACGGATAAAGTACAAAAAGAAATACGAAATATAATGTTAATATCAGAAGAAATGAGAATATCAAATAATAAACAATTATTAAAATTAAAATACGAAAGATTAAGATTTGAGAGCAAATATTTTACTATAGTAAAAGAAGAATTAGTAAATCCAGATACAGTTGAGAGAAGATTTAGAAAAATAATAAATAAAAAAGAAGATAAAAGATGTAAATTAACATATGAGTTAGAAATAAGAAAAATTAAGGTGTCAATAAGTGAATATATGAAAAAATTAAAATCATTAATAAAAATATTAATAAGTGATGTACAAGATTTGAGAAATGAAGTAAAAGAAACAAGAAATGATATAAATATATTATAAATTGAAATTAGAGATTTAAAAGAAAATAATAAGAATAAAGATAAGAAAATAGATAAAAAAAAAACTTATAGAAAAAGAGAAGACTCGAATAAGAAAGAAACATATAGAAAAAGAAAATATGGTAATGAAAACATGGGGTATGGATGATGAATTTAGAAAGAATATATTATCAAAAATATTAGAAGAAGATGATGATGAATCTAGAGAAAAATCATTAAAAAATTAAAAGTAGAAGGAAAAGAAGATGAGTGAAAAATTAGATTTGCTAATAGAAAATTTTGATCAATTAAACCTAACTGATATAAGTGAATACCAAATTTTAATAAATATTGGAGGAAGACATAATCCAACAGGAACCTCTAAATAGAAATTTCATAATACAAAAGAAAGTTATGCACCTATATATAATAAATCATATAAACAATTTTATGATAAAGTAAGAGATAGACAACCACCTAAAGAAAATAAATATAAAGATAGGTTTGAATTAAATGATAATTATGATAAATCAATTAATCATGGAGAAACAAAACTATATTTAAATTGTAAAATAGATACTAAGAAAGCCTTATTAATTTGGGCAGATTCAATGATATTATTCTTTTTATATAACAAAAATGACATATAGGAAAATACTGAAAGAAGAATAGATTTCTCAATAGCATCCTTTGAAGGAGATGTTAGAAATTGATGGAAAGGAATAAGCAATGATACAAAAACATTAATAAAAAGAAATGTACAAATAGAAATAATAAAATCAGATAGACAATGTATAGGAAAATTAGTAGAATATATTTCAGATGAATTTTTAGGAGAAAATTGGATAAAAATGCTGAAAGAGAATTAATAAGAGAAAAAGATAATGCTAGAATAAAATTAATAAATTTAACAATACGTGATATGCGTAAAATTAAGGAATATACTTGTGAATTTAAAAATTACTATTATGTTCAATTTTATAGTAATGAAAATCAAGAAGTATACCAAGACATGTATTATAATAAGTTACCAGATTCATGGAGAATATATTTTAAAATATAATTTGAAAAATATGTTAGAGATAATACTAAAATACCTAAAACTTTAGGTTCAAAAATAAAATTTTTATTTGAAAAACTTGCGTATATATGTCAACAAAGACAATTAATGAAAAAATTAAGAAAATTAACTAAAATATGTTGTGAAGATATGAAAACTCATGTGTAATAAAGATGTAATCCAAAAAGAAGAATTAATAAAATAAAATGTAAAAATAAAAAGTTTAAAAAATTTAGAGATTTTAATAAAAAAAATATATAAAACTAGGAGAAGGTATTACAAAAGAAAAATAACTCATATAATCAACAGAAGAATAAAAATAAAAGTCAATGTAAATGTTGGAATTGTGGAGAAATATGTCATATAAGCCTTTATTATGATAAAAAAAGAGTTAGAATATTAGAAAAAGAA